CTAACTCCCATAAGTTCCTAAGATTTTCTTTCCCTCGCAGATTCTATCAACCTCTCGGTCTGCTTAGTTTCTTACGTTATGAATTTCTCAATTCTTCCAACCAACTGGTCTTAAGTCAATCACAAATATGCATAAATACGGGCCTTATATTCACACATTTCATATAATCACAAGAAATTGATAAACGAAAGAAGTCCAGAATGAATAAACAAAACCACTTCATAAATAATCTGAGTACTCACAAATCCTAGAATCTCAAAGAAGTTTAGCTACTAAACATATTCTCAATACTCAAAGTAAACAAATCCATGAGTTCAATGAAGAAGAAAAAGAGAAAATAAAGAAGAACTATTGTCGCCGTTAGTTCCCGGATCTTCAATCTTGACTTCCCCGAATCCCTTGTGTGTTTCGTACTCTCTCTAGGCCTCCAATGGTGTCAAAAGTTCAAAAATCGTGTTCTCCAAGTTTCTTTCATACTTTAGGGCAATTATGGGTCAAAAAAGGAAAGAAATCGTATAAGAATCCTAATTCCCGCTGATGTGTCTGCGCGTCACACGACTCGTGTCATATGCCACACGAGTCGTGTGATTTCTCCAATTTTTGCCAAACTCCCAGACTCACACGACTAGTCACACGACCGGGTCACACGACTCGTGTGAGTCCATACGACCAGTGCCACTGAGCCACACGACCCGTGTGAGTTCACACGACCCGTGTGAGTTCACACGACCCATGTCACCTCCCACACAACTTGTGTGAAATTGCCGTAACAAAACGTCCATTTTTCTCACTCACACGACTCGCGTCACTTCTCACACGAGTCGTGTGTCCTCATCAACACCTGGTTTTCGTCGTTTTTTAACCCAACTCCATTTTTAACGTTGTTTCGGGCATATTTCTTGCAAAACTAACGACAAAAAGTACATCTATCATAGATTAATAAATAGAGCATAATGGTGCACAATCAAACGATAAATATTGTCAAATATCATAATATATTACTCATAATGCATGTAAATATGATGAATGTCAGGGCGCATGCGAAACTGGGTTCGCAACAAATCGTGAGGTAATTAATGGCAATCTCTCTCTCGGAAATTCGTATAGCTCGATCAAGTTGTTTGACTAACTCGTCTCATAAATGGCTCGACATAAAAAACATGGACAATGGCTCGTCTTTCTCTGATCTTGAACAACGTGGACCTACACACACCAAAAGAGATAAGGAAGTACGCCAAAAATACAAAAACCAAAGAGAAAATAAAATCAGACGGAAACGACTAAAATGGACCGGTGAGATAAGAAAACAAACCTAAGACCGAGTCAACTACGCACATAAACACATAAAATGAAGCACAAGAACACAATAAACAACAATCGTCCCTTGGTCACATGGCCTTATTTTACGCCTTTCTTTGTCCGTTTGAGCCGGTGGTTGTGGACGACCATCCGCTGTTGATTTTCACTGAATTCTAGTGTCGTTCTATGATCGC